ACCATGTTGACCAGGATGGTCTCAATCTCTTGACCTCATGATCCACCCGCCTCAGCCTCCCAAAGTGCTGGGATTATAGGCGTGAGCCACCGCGCCCGGCCTGAAAATGTTTTATTAGAGAACTCTTCTTGCAGTGGGTTGCTATTTTCTGGATTTTACTTTTTAGCAACAAATAAAATCTTTTGTTAAATAAAATCCTAGAAAACAAACAAGCAAACAAACCCAAATGAGTAAAATGATTACAGCCCCAAAGGGATACGAAGCTGCGTCTGTAAGACGGGGCAGGACACCGCGCACAAACAAGCAGGCAGAGAATGAAAACTGAACCTTGAGACTCCATAGACCTTCTGGTGAATACAAATTCAATAGAAGGATTAGTCTATGAAATTGAGGACATTTCTCTGAAAGTAGAACAAACAGAAATAGGATAAAATATATGATTATTAGAAACTCAATTTAGGAAACAAAATATGATTGCCTAGATTTCTAGAAGGAGATTAACGAAAAAACAGAAGGAAGAAATTATTTTTTAAAAAAGGAAAGAAAGAAAGAAAACATTCTGGAAGTGAAGGACACATATTCCCGAGAATGTAGAGAAACTTGAACTGTTTTTCCCCTGCCCTCACATCACCACAGCAATCAACACAGAAGACGTCTGTGACTACACGTGGCGGGGCCGGTTTCCTCCCACCACCAAGCTAGCAATCAGTTCTGTGGCAGGCACCAGCTGGGAGTGCTCCAATTTTATTCTGACACTATTTAGAGATTGCACCAGATCCCACAGGTTGGGTGCTCGGTCCCCAAGACTGCCGACCCTTTAGACACCAGTCTTAAGTCCAGGCCTCCAGAACATCTAAGACCAACTGGCTTCAATTTGAGGTTCTCATGCTTGTGAATGGCACTACATGAGGCATGCTGCAGAAAGCGAGGGGGACCGTCATGACAATGAAGGTGACAACAGCTGATGTTTACTGAGCTCCTCTTTTGTGCAGGCATCATGCTCAGCACTTTGTACACACACCGCATTTGATCTTGACGACAATCCTATGAGCCGAGCCCCTTATCCCAACTGTGCCGCTGAAAAAACTCAGAACCAGGGAGGTTGGGAAGCGGCCCAAGCCTCACAGAGCTGGCACCTGCACGACGAAGTTCTGCTCCAGAATACAAGATCTTAATCACCGCTGTCTTGTCTCTTTAAATAAAAAAAACCAAGGGTGCGGTGGCTCATGCCTGTAATCCCAGCACTTTGGGAGGTCGAGGTGGGTGGATCATTTGAGGTCAGGAATTTGCAATCAGCCTGGCCAACATATGGTGAAACCCTGTCTCTATTAAAAATACAAAAATTAGCTGGGCGTGGTGATGCATGCCTGTAATCCCAGCTACTTGGGAGGCTGAGGCAGGAGAATCACTTGAACCCGGGAGGTTGCACTGAGCAGAGATCACGCCACTGCACTCCAGCCTGGGCAACAGTGACTCTCCATCTCAAAAAAAAAAAAAGGAAAAAAAAAGCCCATAAATTAGCTGGGTGTGGTGGCGGGCACCTGTAGTCCCAGTGACTCTGGTGGCTGAGGCACAAGAATTGCTTGAACTCGGGAGGTGGAGGTTGCAGTGAGCCACGATCATGCTGCCACGGCACTCCAGGCTGGACGACAGAACCAAGCTCTGTCTCAATCAATCAATAAATAAGAGACACTTCCAATAGGTCACTATTCTCTACCCAGAAGGTGAAGGTTAAGAGGAAGAAATGAAAGATTCTATTCAATTCAGTGCATGCAGCGAAGACTACTGAGTGCCTGAGAGAGACAGTGGGCTTTGAACTCATAAGCACAGCCTGCTGTCATTGTCAGCTTGGCACTCACTAGCTGTGAGACATTGGGCCAATGACCCAGCCTCTCAAAAGCAGGTTCATCCTGCCAACCTTGTGAGCTGTTGTGAGCATGGGATGAAGGGAGACTTGTGAACCACCGGCACAGTGCCTGGCACAAAGAACACAACTTTGTGGACTTTGGAAGAATGGCACGATGAAAGTGGCTTCTGGCAAGCAAAATATAAAGGGGTTTAACTGAGCACTTGTTCTACAACCATAAGTCAAAACCGCAAACGCTCAGGAAAAAAAGACTGTAACGAAACACACATCTTGTCTGTGGACTTCTGCGTTAACATTCACCCTGGCCAACTCTTCCGTTGCTGCTGTCTTTCCTATGGGCGTTCCTCCAGCCTGGCGGTCATGGGAAACCTGCATGAAGCCTAGGCAGGGGGCAGGGCTAGCCACAAGGAAATGCACAGGGAAATGCAATATTGATGGTTTCTCCTGTATTGATTTCTGTGGGGAAATCAGTCTTCTGGGTTTTGAGGTGCTAACCCCAGGCAGCTGGCACCAGTGCTAAGGTGGGTCTCAGCCTGCCACTACTTCCCAAGCGTAGCTGACCATTTTTTCCTTCATTCATGCATTCTTTTGTTCGGTCAACACGTATTTCTCGACCCCTGCATCCTGTGCTTCAGCACTGAGCTAGAACAGAACAGGTATGCAGAAGCCTCCTCCCTGTCTGCGGATAGTCATGGAGGGCCAAGTCTACCTGGGCTTTGGCCAGACACTCACATTATGGAAAGTGGCATGGGCTTACTTTGAGAAGGCTCACCCAGCCCTGCCTTTGCGGAAATGAGGGAACCCAGGCCCAAGCAGCCGCAAAGCTCAAGACTGCAGAGACAGTATGTTGCATGCAAATCCAGGTCCTCCGGGGACCACCTCTGTGGCCTTCCCTCCCCTCACTATATCTCACTGCATCCACTAAAACACCAGTGAGGAGAGAAATTTGAGGGCTGTGTTTTCTTTCTTTCTTTTTTGAGACAGAGTCTCACTTTGTCGCCAGGCGCCAAGGCTGGAGCGTAGTGGTGCGATCTCGGCTGACTGCAATCTCTGCCTTCTGAGTTCAGGCAATTCTCCTGCCTCAGCCTCCCGAGTAGCTGGAACTGCAGGCGTGCGCCACCACGCCCAGCTAATTTTTGTATTTTAGTAGAGACATGGTTTCACTATGCTGGCCAGGATGGTCCCCATCTCTCGACCTCGTGATCCGCCCACCTCAGCCTCCCAAAGTGCTGGGATTCCAGGTGTGAGCCACCGCGCCTGGCCCGTTTTCTTTCTTTTTAAAAGAGTTAGTCAATGGAGCCCAGAGCTGTCTGTGCTTGGAGATGAGCTGTGAGCCAAGCTGTATACAGAACGGTGAGAGAGGAAGGACGAGAACGAGAGACTGCAGATAAATACGAACAGCAAGCGTGGCTCTCCAGTCCTCCCTGTAGCCAGGCTGTGCTTCTGCCCCTGACTGGCAGCTGCTTCACTGTGCAGTGAAATAGCCCAGCTCCCACGCCACACACATGGGAGTCCCATCCCCATTTCCGGCATCTTTTCTCAGGGTTCTATTACACAGACCCTCCACTGCAGCCAAACACCATACCCTGTCCCACCTATGGACCTTGGCTCAGGCCCTTTCTACCACCTGGAATGCTCCTGTTACTCCCACAGGGCGGCCCAAATGACTTTTCCATGAAGGACACCCCAGCTGGAAGTCATTTTTCTTTTCCCTGGAATTCTGTACACTTAGCACTTGTGCAAGCAGCTTGGTACAGGCTGCCTTGCTATCCAGTTCCTAACTTCAAGCCTTGTTCCTCCCCTAGGGAGGTCTCCAGGGTCCCTAGTTAGGTCTCTGGACATTAGGGTCCCCATCTTTATAGTTCCAGTTCCCAGCATGGCACCCTGCACTCTGCAGGCACCTGACCAATGGCTGTCACTTCAGGCGCACGAACCTTTCATATCAGAACAGTTCCTACACAGACTGCAGGAGGGACCAGCTGAGCAGAGGTCTCCCTGCTTTGCCCATCAGTGGAAGTCACAGGACATTTCTCAACACCATTCACCTTAAAAACATCTTTTTTGCCCCCCTGCGAAATAGTCACTTATCCTCCACCCTCTTTTGGTAAATCCTCCACAAAATTAGATGAGAAATATCCCTTTGTTTCACATCCTCTGACTCAGATGCTGAGCATTACTCCCTGGGGTCTGGTGGCGGGGAGGAAAGAGGAGAGCTTGGGGGTGTGGGGGAGAAGAGAGTATGCTGTGCAGGGACACCGAGTTTTGCTGTTTTTTCTTTTTTGAAGATGGTTCTGGCTCACAGAACAGCCACTACCTGGCAGGCGGGTAGGGCCCTTCCTGTGAGCGTTGCGGGGCTACACCCTGACAGCTACAAACTTGCCGTCCTCCCACCGCGAGCTCACCGGGTTCCCAGACTCAGGTGGTAGTGGTAGGGGGTGGGAGGGGCGGGACGGACGCCGTCTTAAGAACCATCCGCTCATACTCAGGGCTTCGCGCCTCTGGGCAGGTGGCCCTCAGTCAGCCTCAGCGCAGCTCTCCCCGAAACGTGGTGCCGTCGCGGCTCTGCGAACGCGGGGTCCCTCTGGGGGGCGCTCACCTCCGTACGGCCGCCGTGGGCTCACCCGGCTCCGTCGGAAGCACGAGGGGCAGGGCTTGAGCGCAGCTCCCGAGGGCGCGGTGGGCCTCCCGAGGGCCGGCCGTGCCCCGTCGAGGGACGTGCAGGGCGCACGGCGTGGAGCCGGGTCCAGACCCGGCCTGTCCCCTCCCGGGCCCTTCCCCCACAGCGCGTTTCCGCCAGCCCTGCCCGCCCCTGCAGCCGGGTCCCGCGCCGCGGCCTCCTTCCCCGAACTCCGCGGCCCGGGTGGGGTGTCACGGCCGCCCCCAGCCCCGACGGCAGGCCGGTGTGCACACGCGTCGCGCGGTCTGCCGCCCCCTCACCCCCAGTCCCTACCGCAGCTCCGACGGCCCGCCAGGGCGCCGCGGTATCCGCGCCCGAGCCTCAGAGCACCTCTGAGCCCGCGGCGCGGACTTCCTGCCTCCGCAGCCCGGGCGGTAGTCCCGGCCGTCCGAGCCTCCGGCGACCCTGCCCCGCGCCCCCAGCACCCCGGCGGCCGCGCCCCTCGCGGAGTCTCACCGGCTGGGAGCAGACCAGCGCCGGGTGGTCCAGGAGTCGCAGGGAGGCGCCACCCGGGGCCAGCACGCCCAGGAACAGCAGGAGTAGCCCCAGGGGGGGCCCCGGGACGGCGGGCGGCGGGCTGCGTGCGACCCCCATGGCCCCGGTGGCGTCGCGGAGGGCTCGGCCCGGCTAAGGGCGCAGCCAGCTATCGTTCCGGAGCTTTCCCTTCCACGGTGAAGCTCGAGTCCGCTCCACTGAGCTCGCTTCCGGCTTCCAGCCCGGGCCCAGGGCCGCGCCAGGCCAGGGAAGGGGAGGGGCTTGTGCTGCGGTGGGAGGGGATTAGGCTGCGGTGGGCGGGGCTCAGGCTGGGACGGGGAAGGGCTCAGGCTGGGGAGGGGAGGGGCTCAGGCTGGGACGGGGAGGGGCTCAGGCTGGGGCGGGGAGGGGAGGGGCTCAGGCTGGGACGGGGAGGGACTCAGGCTGGGGAGGGGAGGGGCTCAGGCTGGGGCGGGGCCTCCCCGGTTCCTCCCTGCGCCCCTCCTCCTGGTCCTCGGCGCAGTCCTCCCGGCGTCCCTCCGCGGCCCTCCCCAGCCGCGCGGCCAAGGTGCGCCCCCCGCCCCGCTGCTCCCCGGCCTGGCCCGTCCCGCCCTTCGTTGCGCCAGCTCCAGGATAGCTTCAACTCAGGCCAAAGCCTCGCCCGTCCCCACATGCACCCTCCGCCCTGGCAGTGCCGCTGCTAAGTCGATTTTAATCCTTCGCCCCATTCTCTTGACCCTTGGACCCGTTCAGACTTCCCGTTTCTTTCCTGGGTTATTGGATGTCAAATCCCAACTTGGGATTCCAGGAAGTCAATTTTCTTGCTCCCTGTCCCTTCTATTTTTATTGTTCATTAATTTTGAGACGGAGTTTCACTCTTGTTGCTCAGGCTGGAGTGCAGTGGCGCGATCTCGGCTCACTGCAGCCTCCGCCTCCCGGGTTTAAGCTGTTCTCTCTCCTGCCTCAGCCTCCCGAGCAGCTGGGGCTACAGGCACGTGCCACCACGCCCGGCCAATTTTTGTTTTTAGTAGAGATAGGATTTCGCCGTGTTGGTCTCGAACTCCCGACCTCGGGTGATCTGGCCTCCTCGTCCTCCCAAAGTGCTGGGATTACAGGCGTGAGCCGCAGCGCCCGGCCTTAGTATTTATTTTGTTTCATTATTTTAGACAGGGTATCGCTCTGTCTTTCAGGCTGGGATGCAGTGGTGCAACCACAGCTCACGGCAGCCGGGGCCTCCCGGGTTGAAGCGATCCCCCCCGCCTCTGCCTCCTGAGTAGTTGGAATCGCGGGTCCGGTCCCATTTTATCGTCCCCACCCCTTTGCCTGGTTCTGCTCGCTGTGGTTTCCCTGGCTTTCCTTTCTCTTTCTCAGGACAAGGACCGCTCTGGGCTGCAGGGAGGAGGGGGACAGCAGTCACTTGCAGCCTTCTGACTCGGCTCGGGGACACTGAGTTCCTGGAGGGCAGGTACCCACCTGGTCTGCGACTCCGTGTCCCAGCCGCAGCTAAGGGTGGTAGTTCCCCAGAGGCTCACTCCACGGCCACGGAAGCTGTCGCCAGCGAAGTACACGTGTCACGAGTCTCATCCTTAGCACGCGTGCCGCCTGCGGCCTCTCCGCTCGGGACCCTCGAGGGCTTTTTCCAGCTGGCCCACGCTTCCCCTATCCTAGGTTCCCGCCTCCAGCCCGTCCCGCCCGAGTTCATCCACGCGCTCTTGCCCACTCGCCTCTCCTCCCTTCCTCCCAAGCCCACCAGCGTCTGCTTCTCCTTGCCTATCAAGCGCGCTTCTGCCTGGCCTTGATACTCATGGAGTCTGCACTCCGTGGCTTTTCCCCGTATTTTCCACTGGCCTCGAGAGGAGGCCCACATCTGGGGCGGCGGATTTTCTGGCTGCCCGAAGCACTCGCAAACTGGGGCCCCAGCGACATCTCTATGAGCCCCGCTCACAGACACGACCCAGCTGAATGAAGCCTGAAGCTCAGGGGCCTTCCAAATATCGTTGCTTGTATTCTAAAACAATTTTGGAAACCTGCATCCTGTCATACTTTTTTTTTTTTTTTTTTTTGAGGTGGAGTTTTGCTGGTGTTACCCAGGCTGGAGTGCAATGGCACGATGTCGGCTCACCGCAACCTCCGCCTCCTGGTTCAAGCAATTCTCCTGCCTCAGCCTCCCGAGTAGCTAGGACTACAGGTGTGCGCCAACATGCCCAGCTAATTTTTGTATTTTTAGTAGAGACGGGGTTTCACCATGTTGACCAGGATGGTCTCGATCTCTTGACCTCGTGATCCACCCGCCTCGGTCTCCCAAAGTGCTGGGATTATAGGCGTGAGCCACCGCGCCCGGCCCTTGTCATACATTTTTAAGATGACTTCTAAAATTCTCTATCCTAAGTCTAGATGTAGAGGATGTAATCGTTATGTAAAAATTGGTGGTTGTCCTAGGCAGCTTCTAAGCTCCTAGGATCCCACCTCCTGGGAGTCACGACCTTCTGAATCCGCGCCTCCCGGAGTGTGGGCTGGACCCAGAGGCTCCGTTCTAACAATAGAATGTGAACAGAAGACAAAAATGATGGAATGCCACTTACAAGATTAAGTTACAAAAAGATCCTGACGTCTGCCTTGCCCAGCCCCTCCCGCTGAGCTCCCAGCTCTTAGGGAAGTCATGCTGTGAGCCGCCCTGGGTGGGGCCCAAGTGGCCGAGAATGAGGAAGGCCTCTGTCCACTGCAAGACACTGAGAACCTCATCCATGATTGCAATTATTGATCAAAATAATGTAAATACACGTTAATGAGTAATTATTAAACATGAACTGAATTTGAAATCCATTTTCTTCCTAGTTCATGTCTTTGAATATTGCTTATTCATAGAACAAAACAACATTCAGCATTTTAAAAATATTTTAGGATTTTTATTTTTATATTTTATTTTTTTGTGAATAGCTCCTTGATATAGATTATTTTTCTTTTTTTAAGAAACATTACAGCTGGGCGCGGTGGCTCAAGCCTGTAATCCCAGCACTTTGGGAGGCCGAGGCAGGTGGATCACGAGGTCAAGAGATCGAGACCATCCTGGTCAACATAGTGAAACCCCGTCTCTACTAAAAATACAAAAAGTTAGCTGGGCATGGTGGCGCGTGCCTGTAATCCCAGCTACTCAGGAGGCTGAGGCAGGAGAATTGCCTGAACCCAGGAGGCGGAGGTTGCGGTGAGCCGAGATCGTGCCATTGCCCTCCAGCCTGGGTAACAAGAGCAAAACTCCATCTCAAAAAAAAAAAAAAAAAAATTACAAATGATCTCCCTGTGTTACCCAGGCTGGTCTTGAATTCCTGGGCTCAAGCCATCCTCCTGCCTCTGCTTCCCATAGTACTAAGATTATGAGCCTGAGCTACTACCCCAGCCTACAAATATTTTAGATGTAAGCCTTAAAAAACCACTTACAGGGCCAGGCGCAGTGGCCACGCCTGTAATCCCAGCACTTTGGGAGGTCGAGGCAGGCAGATCACTCGAATTTAGGAGTTAACAGACCAGCCTGGGCAACATGGTGAAAACCCGTCTCTAAAAAAAATACAAAAATTACAAAAATTAGCCAGATGCAGTGGCATGTGCCTGCAGTCTAGCTACTCGAGGCTTGAGCCTGGGAGGGAGGTGGAGGTTGTAGTTTGCCGAGATTGTGCCACTGCACTCCAGCCTGGGTGATGGGAGTGAAACCCTGTTTAAAAAAAACAAAACAAAGAAACGAACCTAAGCTGATCTACACACTCTTACCCTCTCTCCTTGTGATGTCCTCTGTCCTGTTTTGACACAGCAAAGAGGCCTTCTCTAAACGCTGGGGCCACGCTCTTGAATGTCTTAGCCTCCAGAATTGTTCGCTAAGTAAAATATTTTTTTTCTTTATAAATTACCTAGTCTATGGTATTCTCTTGTAGTAACAGAAAATGGACTAAGACAACCATATTTCCTGTGCTTAGAATAGCCTCTGTCTCACAGATGATCAATAAATGTGTTTTGAATAAACTATTGAATAAATGTGTCAACTGAGATCTACTAATTTTAAGAGGGATTTTTGTGTGTGAAATTTTTTTTTCCTTTTTTTTTGTTTTTCCAGACAAGATCTCACTCTGTCGTCCAGGCTGGAGTATAGTGACTGGGTCACAGCTCACTGCAGCCTCAACCTCCTGGGCTCAGGTGATTCTCCTGCCTTAGTCTTCCACTCGGAAGACCACATGTACGCACCACTATGCCTTTTTTTTTTTTTTTATTATGAGACAGAGTCTTGCTCTGTTGCCAGGCGTCAGGCTGGAGTGCAGTGGCGCAATCTCAGCTTACTGCAACCTCCGCCTCCTGGGTCCAAGCAATTCTCCTGCCTCAGCCTCCTGGGTAGCTGGGACTACAGGTGCACTCCACCACACCCAGCTAATTTTTGTATTTTTAGTAGAGACGGAGTTTCACCATGTTGACCAGGATGGTGCCGATCTCTTGACCTTGTGATCCACCCGCCTCGGCCTCCCAAAGTGCTGGGATTACAGGCGTGAGCCACTGCGCCCGGCCCTTTATTTATTTATTTTTTTAAATTACTTGTAGAGATGATGTCTCCCTGTGTCTCCCAGGCTGGCCTCAAATCTCTGGGCTCAAGAGATCCTCCCAAAGCGCTGAGATTACAGGCATGAGCCACCATGTTTTATTTTTATTTTTTTAGTCTTTTTAAAAAAATTTTTATTTTTGCATTGAGTTGCAACATTTAAATCCCAGTTTTTCTCAAGTACTATTATTATTTTTTTGAGATGGAGTCTCATTCTGTCGCCCAGGCTGGAGTGCAGTGGTGTGACCTTGGCTCACTGCATCCTCCACTTCCTAGATTCAAGCAATTCTCCTGCCTCAGCTTCCTGAGTAGCTGGGATTACAGGTGCCCGCCACTATGCCCAGCTAATTTTTTGTGTTTTTAGTAGAGACAGGATTTCACCATATTAGCCAGTCCGGTCTCAAACTCCTGACCTCGTGATTCTCCCACCAAAGTGCTGGGATTACAGCCATAACGCACTGCACCTGGCCTTTTTCTTTTTTTAGAGGCAGTGTCTCACAGTGTTGCCCACGCTGGTCAGCTGGTCTCAAATTATGACCTCAAGGTATCCTCCTGCCTCAGCCAGCACGGTACCTGGGATTACAGCAGGGACTAGCACCATATCCAGTCTTTTTTTTTTTTTTTTTTTCAGACGGAGTTTTGCTCGTTACCCAGGCTGGAGTGCAATCGCGCGATCTCGGCTCACCGCAACCTCCACCTCCTGGGTTTTAGGCAATTCTCCTGCCTCAGCCTCCTGAGTAGCTGGGATTACAGGCACATGCCACCATGCCCAGCTCATTTCTTGTATTTTTAGTAGAGACGGGTTTACACCATGTTGACCAGGATGGTCTCGATCTCTCGACCTCGTGATCCACCCGCCTCGGCCTCCCAAAGGGCTGGGATTACAGGCGTGAGCCACCGCGCCCGGCCCCACATCCAGTCTTTAAGCTTTTAAATTCAACTTACAGAGTGTGCTAGTTCATTTATTTACTTATTTACTTACTTACTTATTTATTTGAAACAGATTCTGTTATGTAGGATGGAGTGTACTGGTATAGTCATGACTCACTGCAGCCTCAACCTCCTGGGCTCAAGTGATCCTCCCACCTCAGCCTCCCAAAGTGCTGGGATTATAGGTATGACCCACTGTGCCAGGCTGTCGTCCATTTAGTAACCTGGTAATATTGGTATAAAATAAGAACAATCCGTGCCTGTAATCCCAGCTACTCGGGAGGCTGAGGCAGGAGAATTGCCTAAAACCCAGGAGGTGGAGGTTGCGGTGAGCCGAGATCGCGCCATTGCACTCCAGCCTGGGTAACAAGAGCGAAACTTCGAAACCCCGTCTCAAAAAAAAAAAAAAAAAAGAAAGTAATGGCCCTCAATTTGTTCGCATCTGTTTGAGTAATCCTGTCTCACACGGATTCTGGGCTTGGTCATTGGAAGTGTTCTGGCCAATGAGGCCACAGCAAACTGGACACATTTGGGGTCTGCGTTCTGGAATTCTTAGGCTTCCGTATGAGGAAGCTGAGGCTGCCTTCTTGCTGGGTAAGAGGCCATGCAGGGCAGAGTCAGGCCATTCCCGCTGCAGCCTTCCCACTACCAGGCATGAGCATTCAGCACTAGACGTTCAGGCAGACCAGATCAGAAGGGCTGCTCAGCCGACCCACAGAATGAAGAGAAACAAAAAGAAAACTTAAGCCACCGAGTTTTGGGGTGTTTTGTCATGCAACAAAAGCAAACTGATGTACCAACTGAAATCCTTCTAATGGGACAGACCTCTTCAGGCCTGCATGTCTTTCCTTGAAAACCATCTGATAACACAGGTCACTTTCTTTTATGTATTTACTTATTTAAAGATGGGGTTTCACCATGTTGGTCAGGCTGGTCTTGAGCTCCCAACCTCAGGTGATCTGCCTGCCTTGGCCTCCAAAGTGCTTGGATTACAGGCGTGAGCCACCACGCCCGGCCAGCACAGGTCACTGTCACAACATCTGCACTCCTGATTTCAGTTGGTGAGGTCACGAGCCCTCTATCCAGGTTGTATTAATAACTAATCACTCTGCTCCTTGAATGGATTCTACACTTGAAATGTTTTACTGTCTCTCTTATATCATCTCTCATTCTAAAGTCCTATGTGGTGCTCTCCCTCACGGTCAACGGACCAATTACTTTTATAACTATAATTTTTGATATTTTTAAACAAATAAACACATGTATCTAACAATTTCTTGATATAAAATGCCAATCCAATCCAATCCAATTAATATTAATACTAAGGTGACAACAGAGAGGATAACACGATTTCCACTAATACATACTGCACATCGTTCTTTTCATGAGCCGAAATGCTCTTCTAGTATGCTTTACATTTTACTTTTTTCCGGAATACCACTCTACAGCCATGATTTCTCTCAGATTTGTTTCTATGAAATACAATGACAGACAGGTATTTCCTTTTCTTTCTTTTTTTTTTTTTGAGACAGAGTCTTGCTCTGTCACCCAGGCTGGAGTGCAGTGGCGCCATCTCAGCTCACTGCAACCTCTGCCTCCTGAGTTCAAGTGATTCTCTGCTCAGCCTCCTGAGTAGCTGGGATTACAGGTGCATGCCACCATGCCTGGCTAATTTGTGTATTTTTAGTAGAGACAGGTTTCACCATGTTGTCCAGACAAGTCTTAAACTCCTGACCTCAGGTGACACGCCCACCTCAGCCTCCCAGAGTGCTGGGATTACAGGCGTGAGCCTTCGCAACTGGCCCAGGTATTTCCTTTTGATGGTTCAGATAACACCTCCAGTGGAAGATCCTTTAGCTTGCTGTTGTCTCCTGAGTGACATCCCAGATGCTCTGAAAGCATCTTGTTTTCTGAGAATAGATGTTATAGGCACCAAGGTGTAGCTACTTTGCATCAGGCTTGGTTCTCTTAGCGATGTGTTAGAGACCCTGATGAGGGTTCTAGGGGCACATGTCAAATTGTTCCATGTGAGTCTAAAATGGGTGATCCTGCTGTGGGCTATTTTTAGTAATGGTGCTAGAAAAGTTATGCTTTTAAAAAGTGAATAGTTCACAATGGTGTTTCCCATGTAATTTTCATTTAGCCAGTCCTTAATTGTTTTTCAGAATAAAAATGTGGGCTGGGTGTGGTGGCTGATACCTGTAATCCCAGCAGTTTAGAAGGATCGCTTGAGCCCAGGAGTTTAAGACCAGACTGGGCAACATGGTAAAACCTCATTTCTACAAAAAATGAGCCAGGCATGGCGGTGCGTCCTGTAGTCCAAGCTACTCAGGATGCGGAGGTGGGAGGATTGCTTGAGCCAGGGAGGTTGAGGCTACAGTGAGCTGACATCACACCACTGCACTCCAGCCTGGGTGACCGTATGAGACATTGTCTCAAAAGCAAAACAAGGCCGGGTGCCGTGGCTCACGCCTGTAATCCCAGCACTTTGGGAGGCTCAGGTGGGCGGATCATGAGGTCAAGAGATCGAGACCATCCTGGCCAACACGGTGAAACCCCATCTCTACTAAAAATACAAAAATTAGCCGGGCGTGGTGGCACACGCCTGTGGTCCCAGCTACTTGGGACGCTGAGGTGGAAGAATCGCTTGAACCCAGGTGATGGAGGTTGCAGTGAGCTGAGATTGCGCCACTGCACTCCAGCCTGGTGACAGAGCACGACTCCATCTCAAAAAACAAACAAGAAAACAAAATAAAAATCTTATGAACAGGCCAGGTGCAGTGGCTCATGCCTGTAATCCCAGCACTTTGGGAGTCCAAGTGGGTGGATCACCTGAGGTTGGTAGTTCAAGACCAGCATAGCCAACATGGTGAAACCACATCTCTACTAAAAATACAAAAATTAGCCAGGCATAGTGGTGGATGCCTGTAGTCCCAGCTACTCGGGAGGCTGAGGCCAGAGAATCACTTGAACCCGGGAGGCGGAGGTTGCAGTGAGCCAAGATCGCATGATTGCACTCCAGCCTGAGGGACAAGAGCAAAACTCCATCTCAAAAAAAAAAAAAAAATTCTTATGAACAACATTTCCTATTAAATTCAATACAACATTCCCCACTAAATGTACCAGAAGGGAGAGTTCCAAGTTGCTAAAGATGTCAGTTACATTTTATGGAGATTGAAAGATGGACACCTCTTACCTGACAGGAGAATGCCACCAAACTGTACAAGTTATCAGCTTTGATTTCTAAGGGGCAAATAAACAGATGTATAGGGTTTTCTTGCCTGGATCCCTTGTCTTAGAGCACAACTTTCCAGAATCCTGATTTTCAGAACGAGGCTGAGATGTCAGCGCCATTTTTCTCAGAGGTGGGTTCTTAGTGGAGATAGAAATTGTTCCTTTTCTTTTCTTTTTTTTTTTTAAGAGATGGGGTCTTGCTATGTTGACCAGGCTGGAGTGCACTGGCTATTCACAGGCGCGATCCCACTACTGATCAGCATGGGAGTTTTAACCTGCTCCATTTCTGACCTGGGCTGGTTCACCCCTCCTTAGGCAACCTGGTGGTTCCCCGCTCCCGGGAGGTCATCATATAGATGTCGAACTTAGTGCAGACACCTGATCGGCACAGTGCACTACAGCCCAGAACTCCTGGGCTCAAGTGATCCTCCCATCCCAGCCTCCCGAGTAGCTGGGACTACAGGCATGCACCACTGCGCCCGGCGAAATTGCTCCTTTTCTATTTTTATTTCTTTTTTTTTTTTTTGAGGTGGAGTTTCGCTCTTGTTACCCAGGCTGGAGTGAAATGGCGCGATCTCAGCTCACCGCAACCTCCGCCTCCTGGGTTCAAGCAATTCTCCTGCCTCAGCCTCCTGAGTAGCTGGGATTACAGGCACGTGCCACCATACCCAGCTAATTTTTTGTGTTTCTAGTAGAGATGGGGTTTCACCATGTTGACCAGGATGGTCTCGATCTCTTGACCTCGTAATCCACCCACCTCGGCCTCCCAAAGTGCTGGGATTACAGGCTTGAGCCACTGCGCCCGGCCTTCTATTTTTTATTTCTACGAGGAATTAGAGTTAGAGCCAGAGAGAGTTATTTAAAGAAAAGGATGAAGAGCCAGTTCAAGGAATGTTAAACTGAAGTCCATAGACAGAATCTAGGAAGTTTGTAAACAATTGGAAATCATTTGGAAAACATTTATTTGAGCGTGCTTTTTCTCTGGAAAAAGAGTTCAGAAATCTCATCAACTTTTTGAAAGAGTTTTGGCATTGACAAAATTAACCCTAACCACCACTACCACGCAACCAAGCCACAACACTGAGGCCCTGATAGAGAAATTATGTGACTGAGTCCACGCAGGTAGTCAGTGGCAGAGCCCCAGGTAAAGACAGCCAGATGGTGTGCTTGGTAAACAAGTTAGAAGTTTTTAGCTCTCAGGCTGGGGGTTTTCCTGTTACATGAAGCCAGAGTGAGAATAATCACATGCAGGAATAGCAATTACATTTACATATATATATATATATGTATTTTGAGACAGAATCTTGCTCTGTCGCCCAGAGTGGAGTGCAGTGGCATAATCTAGGCTCACTGCAATCTCTGCCTCCTGGGTTCAAGCGATTCTCTTGCCTCAACTTCCCCAGTAGCTGGGACTACAGGCACCCACAACCATGCCCAGCTAATTTTTGTATTTTTAATAGAGATGGGGTTTCACCATATTGGCCAGGCTGGTTGTGATCTCCTGACTTCGTGATCCACCCATTTCGGTCTCCCAAAGTGCTGGGATTACAGGCATGAGCCACAGCACCTGGCCTAAATTTATATATTTTTAAAAGTGTACATTGGTCAGGTGTGGTGACTCACACCTGTAATCCCAGCACTTTGGGAGGCTGAGGTGGACAGATCATGGAGATCAGGAGTTTGAGACCAGCCAGGCCAACATGGCAAAAGCCTGTCTCTACTAAAAATACAGAAATTAGCCAGGCTTGGTGGTGGGCACGTGTAATCCCAGCTACTCGGCAGGCTGATGCAGGAGAATCGCTTGAACCCAGGAGAAGTTGTGGTGAGCCAAGATTGTGCCACTATTCTCCAGCCTGGGCAACAGAGTGAGACTCCATCTCAAAACAAAAAAAGAAAAGAAAAAAGAAAGAAAGAAAGAAAAAGTACATTGAGATTTGAAGAAAAAGAAAAGAGAGCTGTAGGTGACAGACTAGAAATAATGTTGGGAGAAATAATGTGAGATGAGTCCATAGAATGAGAGGCTGAGAATTTTCATTCCTATTTACAGGAGGAAAAGACAATGAGGTGGTGAGGGGTACAGAATGATCAGAAAGTCCTTGTTAATCACGTGGCTAGAGACTAAAGATCACTGAAAAGGAAGTAACATATACAAACATATGCAGAGTATTTCTCAATCAAAATTTCATTAGGGTGCTGCGGAAGTAAGCTGGCTTTACTTCCCCAGTGGGAAACCAGAAAGAAACACACGGCACCAAGATCCTCACCAGCCTTGTCCCAGAACTCAGAGATGAGGATGAGACAGTCCCTGGGGCCACAGATGAAAAAACTTCAGAAGATGTCAAGAGAATCACACTTAAAGAAGTTTTTTATTTTCGAGACGGAGTCTTGCTCTGTTGCCCAGGCTGGAGTGCAGTGGCACGATCTTGGCTCACTGCGACCTCTGCCTCCCAGGTGCAAGAAATTCTTTTGCCTCAGCCTCCCCAGTAGCTGGGACTACAGGCGCCCACCACCGTCCTCGGCTAACTTTTGTATTTTCAGTAGAGACGGGGATTCACCATGTTGGCCAGGATGGTCTCCATATCTCTTGACCTCGTGATCCACTCTCCTTGGCCTCCCAAAGTGCTGGGTTTACAGGTGGAAGCCACCGTGCCCGGCCAAAATGTTTTTTTTTTTTTTTTTGAGACAGGGTCGTCTTGCTCTATTGCCCAGGCTGGAGTGCAACGGCTCATTGCAACCTATGCTTCCCTGGTTCAAGCGATTCTCCTGCCTCAGCCTCCTGAGTAGTTGAGATTACAAGTGTGCGCCACCACACCTGGGTACTTTTTGTATTTTTAGTAGAGAGGGGGTTTCACCATGTTGGCCAGGCTGGTCTCAAACTCTTGATCTCAAGTGATCCACCCACCGCCGCCTCCCAAAGTGCTGGGATTACAGGCGTGAGCCACTGCTCCAGGTTGAGACTCAGACTTCTATCTCCACGATCCCCCTCCCTCAAATCCGCCCCACTCAAGCGTGCAGAAAACTCCCTGACTCATGCATTCTGCACTGGAAAAATGAGATCGAGATGGCTAACCAGCTTCTCCACCATCGTGGGTTCACTGACAGGAGACCTGTCCCTGACTCAACCCACAGAAAGCATCTAGTGTGCCTGAAAGGAGAAATATCCCAGAGGACAGCCAGAGACAGAGGGGGGGGCAGGATCGTCTCCAGCCCTGGACCCTTTGCTCTAACTTGGCTGAAGGAGACAGCAAATCAGCATGGATGTTCAGCAGCAGCACGTGGTAGGTTCGTTTCAGAGGTCCCCTGAAACAAAGAAAAGAGGGCTGTAGGTGCACAACTCCTAACCATCCTTCCCACACTACTGAATGTCTCCTTTGAGACCTCCCTCATCCCAATGGGTGGCACGAAACTGCTTTCTACACCAAGGCAAACCTAGCTTATGCCGCCATCTAGTGTCAAAAAGGAGGCGGTGACCTACCTGGAAAAAAAGAAAAAAATAAATAAATCAACAGGTAAATTAAAAATAAAAACTCCTGCGGCCGAATTCCTCGCTGACGGCGGCCGCGGACCGCCCGGCGTCCGGCCGGACGGAGGGCCCTGGTCCGGGGCGCCGGGGCGGCGTTCAGCTGCGCCCAGATGCGGCGGTGACCCCTGGGGCTGTGAGCCGGCGCGCGCCGTCGGAGCCCCCCCGCGCCGCCGCGGGCAGCGCCACCCGGGCACCCGGCGTGCCGGCGGCCGACTCGGGCTCGTGGGAGCGCGTCCGCCAGCTGGCAGCACAGGGCGAGCCGTCGCCTTCCTGCGGAGCGGGGGCCGGACCCGCGCGACCCCGGGGACCTGCAGCCTGCGAGCCATGCGTGGACGCGGCAGGGCCTGGCAATCGGCCCCGTGCCGGGGCGACCCGAGTCCGAGCCGATGGCGACTGCAGCCAGCCGGTGCTCCTGCGGGAAGAGGTGTCGCGCGGCTCCAGGAGGAAGTTCACCTTCTCCGGCAGATGAAGGAGATGTTGGTAAAGGACCTGGAGGAGTCTCAGGGCGGCAAGTCCTCCGAGGTCCTCTCGGCCACCGAGCTCAGGGTCCAGCTGGCCCAGAAGGAGCGGGAGCTAGCCAGAGCCAAAGCAGCCTTGCAGGCCATGAAAGCTAACCGGAAGCGCTTGAAGGGCGAGAAGACGGACCTGGTGAGCCAGATGCAGCAGCTGTGTGCCACGCTGGAGAGTCGCGAGGAGCAGCTCCGCGACTTCATCCGCAACTACGAGCAGCACCGCAAGGAGAGCGAAGACGCGGTCAAAGCGCTGGCCAAGGAGAAGGACCTGCCGGAGCGCGAGAAGTGGGAGCTGCGACGCCAAGCCAAGGAGGCCACAGACCACGCCGCGGCCCCGCGCTCCCAGCTGGACCTCAAGGACAACCGGATGAAGGAGCTGGAGGCCGAGCTGGCCATGGCCAAGTAGTCCTTAGCCACGCTGACCAAGAACGTCCCCAAGCGGCATTCCCTCGCCATGCCGGGCGAGACGGTGCTCAGTGGCAACCAGGAGTGGGTGGTGCAGGCGGACGTCCCGCTGACCGCAGCCATCCGGCAGAGTCCACAGACTCTCTGCCACTCACACCCCCCGTCACCCTGCGGACCGGCAGGCGGTCAGGGTGAGCCCCTGCCACTCCCGGCAGCCCTCCGTCATCTCCGACGCATCTGCAGCCGAAGGCGACCGGTCGTCCACACCCAGTGACATCCACTCCCCTCGACACCGGACGCACTCCCTCGGCAACGGCGACAGTCCCGGCCCAGTTCCGAAGAAACTGCACAACCCTATCGTACAGTCACTAGAGGATCTTGAAGATCAAAACCGGAAAAAGAAGAAAAGGAAGATGGGCTTCCGCTCCATCTCCAGCGCCTTCGCCAGACGGAAGCAGCGGAAGTAACTCGACCCCGGCCTCTTGGATGGTATCACCCCTGATTATTATTACACGGAGCGGGATACGTGCTCCCCTGCGCCTGCGGCCCGCAGGCGTGTCCGTGCGTGCGGGCGTCGTGCGAGTGTGGGTGCGCATGCGTGCGCGCGTGCGGCCGTGCGTGGGGTGCGCATGCGTGTGCGCGTGCGGCCGTGCGTGGGGTGCGCATGCGTGCGCGCGTGTGGCCGTGTGTGGGGTGCGCATGCGTGCGCGCGTGTGCTGTGGCACACATGCGTGCTGGATGTGGCCGAGTGCCTCTCACAAGCGAAAACACGAGTATGAACCCCTGTCCCCTGCGTCGCCACCTCTGTAATTGATGTACATACCGCAAAGTATGTGTGAACCTGTCAACTCTGTTGTCTTTGGAGGAAACGGTTGTGTTGTGAATCTGGTTTATTATTTTTCTACCATGTTTGGTTTTTCTTTTTTTTTCCTTTTTGTTTGGTTCGTCGGTTTTTTCCCCCCCCTTTCTCCACCCCTCCTCCTTTTTATGAAACGAAAACTTGAAGGACTGCTGTGCATTTGTAAATAACAAAACTATTGTGCACTCAAAAAAAAAAAAAAAAAAAAACCTCCAAGCAAACATATCAGATGAAACCGAAACGAGCCAGACAGAGAAGACAAATAAACAACAAATCCTTTAATGCAAAGACATAGACTCACATGACAGGAAACAACAGCAAAGAGGGGAACGCTGACCTCAAATGGACAAAGCAAGGAACCAGTTACTGGCCCTAATGAGACAATATGCGAACCTCTGACCAGTAATTCAAAATAGCAGTTTCGAGAAAAGTCAGTGCTCCCCAAGATAACATACAAAAGTAATTCAGTAATTTACAGGAGAAATTTAACACAGAAATTGAAATTTTGAATAATCAAATAGAAAAATATTGGGGTTGAGAAATAAATTCACTCAACTAAAGAATTCATGGACGGGCACAGTGGCTCACTCCTGTAATCCCAGCACTTCGGGAGGCCGAGGCAGGTGGATTGCCTGAGCTCAGGAGTTCGAGACCAGCCTGGGCAACACAATGAAAGTCCCTCTTTACTACTACTACTACTACTACTAATAATAATAATAAGCCAGGCATGGCAGCCTGAGCCTGTAGTCCCAGCTACTCGGAAGGATGAGGCAGGAGTATTGCTTGAACCCGGGAGGCGGAGGCTGCAGGAGCTGAGATGGTGTCACTGCACTCTAGCCTGGGCGACAGAGGGAGACTCCATTTCCAAAAAAAAAAAAAAAAAAATCATTAGAGGCTCTCAATCAGCTAAATGAATCAAGTAGAGGGAGAAAACCAGCAAGCTCAAAGACAGGCTTCTACAGAATAGAGAAGCAAAACAAAAAATTATCTGCTAAATATAGACAATTACCTCAAAACACCAAATCTAAGAATTCTTGGTGTTCAAAAGGAAGTTGAGGCAGGCGCGGTGGCTCATGCCTGTAATCCCAGCACTTTGGGAGCCCGTGGTGGGAGAATCATTAGGTCAAGAGATCGAGACCATCCTGGCCAACATGGTGTAACCCCGTCTCTACTAAAATACAAAAATTAGCTGGACTTGGTGGCACATGCCTGTAGTCCCAGCTCCTCGGGAGGCTGAGGCAGGAGAAATGCTTGAACCTGGGAGACAGAAGTTGCAGTGAGCTGAGATTGCGCCACTGCACTCCAGCCTGGCGTCTGGCGACAGAGCAAGACTGTCTCAAAACAAACAAAAACACACAAAAGCGAGTTGAGCAAGAGCAAAGGGTGGAAAGCTTATTCAAAACCAAACACAAATGAAAGCCCAGAAAACTTTCCGAACTTGAAAAAGAGACAAATACCCAAGAACAAGAAGGTCAGAGAACACCAAACAGTTCAACCCAAATAAGGCTGCCAAAAGGTGGACATTCACAAAACCCTCAAAGGTCAAGGACAAAGAAAGGGTCCTAAAAGGAACAAGAGAAAAGAAGCAAATAACAGATAAAGAAACTGCAATTGGTCTGGCAGCCGATTTCTCAATGGAAATCACACCGCTCAGGAGGGAAAGGGATGGCATTTTCAAAGGGCTGAAAGAAAAACACTGCCGTTTGAGAATACTGTATTAGAGGGCTGGCGCGGTGGCTCACACCTGTAATCCCAGCACTTGGGAGGCTGAGGTGGGTGGATCAACTGAGGTCAGGAGTTCAAGACCAGCCTGGCCATCATGGCGAAACCCCGCCTTAATAATGATAATAAAAAGTACTGTATTAGAAAATCGTCTTTTCAAATATGAAAAGGACATAAAGGCTTTCCCAGACAAACAAAAGATGAGAGCATTCACCACCACCAGACTTGTGTTACAAGAAGTGAGTGCTGGCTGGGCACAGTGGCTCACGCCTGTAATCCCAGCACTTTGGGAGGCCGAGGTGGTTGGATCAAGAGGTCAAGAGATTGAGACCATCCTGGCCAATGGAGAAACCCCGTCTCTACTAAAAATACAAAAATTAGTCGGGCATGGTGGCACACCCCTGTGATCCCAGCTACTCGGGAGGCTGAGGCGGAAGAATTGCTTGAACCCAGGAGGTGGAGGTTGCAGTGAGCCGGGATTGCGCCACCATACACCAGCCTGGTGACAGAGCATGGTGACAGAGCAAGACTCCGTCTCAAAAAAAAAGAAGAAGAAGAAGAAAAAAAAGGTGAGTGCTAACAAGAATTATTCGAAGGTATGAAATCCACTGGTAAAATTAAGTATATGAACAAACCCCACATACTCTAATACTATAATTTCAGTGTGCAATCCGATTCCCCTGTTACTGACATGCTGATGGCTCACTGTCCACCTCATCTTCAGCACTCACCCCCTCCCCCGATTACCTCACACGTCACACTCCAGGAATATTAAAGCAAAGATCACAACCATTTTTTTAAACGTTATTTTTAGAGATAAGGTCTTGCTTTGTTGCCCAGGCTGGAGCACTGTGGTGTGTTCATAGCTCACTGCAGCCTTGAACCCCTGAGCACAGGCGATCCTCCCACCTCAGCCTCCTGAATAGCTGGGACTACAGGCATGCACCACCACGCCTGGCATATTTTAAAAACATGTGTGTAGAGATGAGGCTGTGTTGCCAGGCTGGTCTCAAACTCCTGGGCTTGAGCCATCCGCCCATTTCCGCCTCCCAAAGTGCTGGGATTACAGGCATGAGCCACCGCGCCCGGCCACTGGTTTTTAGAATTGTTCGCTTACGTAACTTGCTGTAACATTAGACTACGAGCTGTTTTGGGGGAAGGGTGACTTTTTTCATATTTCTTTGTCTGGCTTGCATTAGTAAGTATCAGTAAATATGTTTATAACCAATGAGCACAGAGGAGAAGCTGGGGAGAAAGAGGCTGGACAAAGTTCAAGCAGAGAGATTCCGTAAGTTTTCTTAGCTGAGCCTTGAGGTTGTGTATGAGAACCGCTATCTGAGGGGATTTCAGCTACAGAGATAGGCCTGGTCATTTGCAAAGTAGTGGATCAGGTGAAGCTCGCGCGTGAAATCCTCATTCTGCTTTTCATCTTTCTCTCCTGTTTCTTCTCAGCATCCTGTTAGCCACCCAATCTCTGCCACTTAGTGGCTGCCATTGATTTCCCTGTTATTGAGATCAGAGGTTGGCAGCCTTCCCCTGTAAAGGGCTGGAGAGAAAGTTCTTCAGGCTTCGTGGTCTGTACAGTGTCTGCTGCAGCCACTGGACTCTGCCCTGTGGAGCAAAAGCAGCCACAGACAGTACCTGGGCGAATGAGCGTGGCTGGGGGGCAGTTAAATTTATTTCCAAAAATGGGCTTGGAGGCTGGGTGTGGGCTCACACCGTTAAGTCCAGTAGTTTGGGAGGTTGAGGAGGGAGGATCACTTTCAGCCAGGAGTTCAAGACCAGCCTGGGCAACAAAGCAAGACCCAGCTCTACAAAAAAAAATGGAAAGTTACAGCTAGGCATGGTGGTGCACACCTGGAGTCCCGGCTACTCAGGAAGCTAAAGCCGAGGCGGGAGGATCACTTGAGCCCAGGAGTACGAGGCTGCGGTGAGCTGTTACTGTGCCAGTGCTCTCCAGCCTGGTGACAGGGCGAGAACCGGTCTCATCGAAAAACAAACAATGCACATTCTCACTTACAAGTGGGAGCTAAACACTGGCTACTCATTGACTTAAAGATGGCAGCAAGAGACACTGGGAACTGCTGGACGGGGGAGGGAGGGGGTGAAAAACTAACTGTGGTGTCCTGTGCTCACACACCCGTGACAAACCCGTACATGTGCCCGCTGAATCTGACATGAAAGTTGAAAGTTTATTTAAAAAGCCCGACAGGGTTGGATTTGGCTTGTGCGCCTGGAGCTTGTTAGCCTCTGCGTTAGATATTAACTAACAGAAACTTAGTGCTA